TGAGAGCTGTTTTCCTTTTTTTTTGTTTACTCTCTTTCTCTCTCTCTCCCTCGCAATGTGGGAGGGCGGGCGAGGTAGTTAGGTTTAAGGCGGGGTGTGGGGGAGCACGCAGAAATCAATTAATTGCCTGATGCTGTTTTTCTTTCTTTTTTTGACTTAGTGCCACGTCAGCAGCGATGGTTAGGGGGATGGGGGTTAGTTAGATGGGGGGCGAAGTGGTAAGCAGTTAGTTAGAGCCATGTCAGCATCTATTGTTAGGGGGGAGGTGGTTAGATGGGGAAAGGGGGGGTTGGGGGTAGTACTCTCTCTCTCTCTCTCTCTCTCTCTCTCTCTCTCTCTCTCTCTCTCTCTCTCTCTCTCTCTCTCTCTCTCTCTCTCTTCACCCACACACACACACACACACACACGAGCTTACCTGCCCCAACGCGCCCCAGCTTACCTTCCCCATCGTGCCCCATCACCACCACTTAACAAACTCTGCCGCATTGCAGCCCCCGCCCCCTAACTAACTCCGAGCCGCTGCATCGCTTGGCCCCGCCAACCACCTAACTGTCTACGCTGCAGCCTCCTCTCAACGGTCGCGATTTCGCCGGCCAAAGACGAATAGCATGTGTCCATCGATTGGATCGAAGTGGTAGATCGGATGACAGAGCGAAGTTTGATTGGAACAAGAGAGGGACCCTCGCAGCGTGTGATTGATTCTGAGTACGAACCAACTCACCTGACCCATTTGGCTGAAATGTGCCCACCTAGACCTGTTGATAAACAGATCATGAGTTCAAATACCGACCACCACCCCCCAAAACCCCCCAAGAGATGGACTCAACAACTCTTCCCAGCCCAGTGTACCAATGGGCAAACGACCCACCTGACCTCAAGACGGATACTTAAACTACATATCAGACGGCTGACAAGGGGTGAAGACCTCTCGGTTTCTTGACAAGGGGTCAAGACCCAGAGGCGACTTGAGTATAACAACAGCCAACGACTAAAGGGGGGTTCATGACAGATTGTTTCGTGGGTTTCTCACCGACTCATCCCCAGGGGGTTGAACCCCACACAGTCTGCTGAATCCCCACACAATATTCCTGATTTGAGTCCTCAGTCTCCTACTTCAAGCCCTGTTGCGACTGGACAGCCCAGGCAGGTGATAACACAGGCAGCAACGTAAACGAGGCCGCAGGAAAGCAGAGGGTGGGGTTGGGGGTGGGGG